AACGACACCGGCCCGCGCCACATCGCGGCCGCGGTGGGCACGCCCGTCGTCTCTCTTTTCGGCCCGACGGACCCGCGCTGGACGACCATCCCCTTCAAGGACGAGCTCGTGATGCGCGCCAACCCCGGGCTCCCGGAAGAGGAAGTCGCGGACGACCACCCCGAGACCTGCCGCATCGAGCAGATCAAGCTGGGCGACGTCGTCGCGGGCGCGAACGCGCTGCTGAGCGGCGTCAGCGCCTGACGAGCTTTTCCTGCAGGCGCGGGTCGTCGTGCGACTCCACGATCGCCTCGACGTGCTCCCACACGTTCCGGCGCGTGCGCTTCCAGCGGGCGCGGGCCTTCGGCCCGTCCGCGAACCCGCCGTGCATGGCGCACAGGACGCGCATCCGGTCGGCCATCGACGGCGCGCGCCCCAGGCCGATGGGCTCGATCACCAGGCTCGCGAGCATGCGGTACACGAGCGTCGGGTCCTGCTCCTTCCGCACACCCACCGTATCGATCACGCTCGCCCGCTCCAGGTCCGGCGAGATCACGATGTTCGACGCCTTGCAGTCCCGGTTGAACACCGACGCGTCGTCCATCGCGTTCACCGCGCGCCCCACCGCGTGCGCCGCCTTCGTGCGCTGGCGCGGGGAGAGGGACGCCTCGCCGATGAGATCAAACAGCGTCCGCCCCGCGGCCCGACGCATCACGAGCGTCTCCACACCGCCCTCGCGCACGAGCGCGAGGCACTCGGGCGTCTCGATCTTCGCCGCCACGAGCAGCTCCCACCCCCGCCACTGGCGCATGAGCCGCGTCACCCCGGCCGTGGCGCTGAGCCGGTCCTTGAACCGCGCGAGGCGCATCGTCTTCACGACCACGTCCCCGACCGAGCTCGGCCCCGCGAAGACGCTCGTGAGCGTCTCCGTCTTGAGCACCTCGGCGCCGCTCACCCACGAAGCCGCCGCCACCTCGCGCGCGAGCGCGAGGGCGTCGCCCGTATTTGAGCGAAGGATCTTCGGGTTCGAGGCGCGGGGGGGGATCACGCATCGATCATACGAACGCACGCACCGGTACGATGGCCCCGCCCATGACCGGAAGCGCGCCGAACAACCCCCTCCCCCTCTCCGTCGCCATCATCTGCCGCGACGCCGGGGCGACCATCGAGCGCACGCTCGCCTCCGTCGCCGGGCTCGCGTCCGAGATCGTCGTCGTCGATTCCGGCTCGACGGACGCCACCCTCGCCATCGCCGAGCGCCACGGCGCGACGATCCACCGCGAGGGCTGGCCCGGTTTCGCGGCACAGAAGAACCTCGCCATGTCGCGCTGCGCCCAACCCTGGGTCCTCTGCCTCGACGCCGACGAGTCTCTCGACGGTGCCTGCGCCGCCTCCATCCGCGAAACGATTGCGAAAGCAAACGCCGCCGACGGCTACGAGATCAACCGGATGGTCTTCTGGAACGGCACGCCCCTGAAACACGCCTGGCACCCCGAGTGGCGGCTCCGCCTCGTGCGCGCCGGATCGGCGACATGGCAGGGCGAGCGCGTCCACGAGTCGCTCGTGCTGACCAACAACTCAACCCCCGGCCGACTCGCCGGCACCGTCCGCCACGACGCCATCGGCTCCATCTCGGAGTTCCTCGCCCGGCAGATCACCTACGGCAGGCTCAGCGCCGAAGCGCTCGCCGAGCGCGGGGAGCGTGGGAGCGTGCGGAAGCTCGTCACCTCGCCGGTGGCCGCGTGGCTCAAAATGCTCGTCGCGCGCGGGGCGTACAGGGACGGCTGGCGCGGGTGGGTCGCCGCCTCGAGCGTCGCCCTCGCGGCCATCGCCAAGCACGCCGCGCTGCTCGAGCTGACGCGCGACGCGGAGCGGCGCGATGGATAACGCCCCCGCGCTTTTCGCCTTCGCGCTCGGCGCGTATGCCCTCGGCTCCGTCCCCTTCGGCCTCCTCATGGGCAAGGCGAGGGGTGTGGACATCCGCCAGCACGGATCGGGCAACATCGGCGCGACGAACGCCATGCGCGTCCTCGGAAAGAAGCTCGGCATCGTCTGCTTCCTGCTCGACGTCGCGAAGGGCGCCCTGCCCGTCGCGCTGGCCGGGTGGCTCCTGGGCTACGCCGGGGACACGGCGCTCAGCGCCCCCGAGGCCTTCGCCTGGGTGGGCGTCGGATTCTGCGCCATCCTGGGGCACATGTTCTCGGTGTTCATCGGATTCAAGGGCGGCAAGGGCGTCGCGACGGGGTTCGGCGTGCTCGTCGCGATCTGGCCCTTCGTCACCCTCCCCGCACTCGGCGCCCTCCTGCTCTGGTACGCCACGCTCAAGGTCACGAAATTCGTGAGCGTCTCGTCCTGCGTCGCGTCGATCGGGATGCCCGTGGGCGTGCTCATCGCCTCGATCCTGCGCGACGACCTCGCGGTCGCCTGGCCCTTCGCCGCCGTCACGACCGCCCTCGCGCTGCTGGTCATCTGGAAACACCGGGGGAATCTCGCCCGCGTGAAACGCGGCGAGGAGCCCAAAGTCGGGCGCGCGAAGTCCGGATAAGCGCCGATCCCGCGCATCCGGACGTGTGAACCCACAAAACCGTGGTGAATCCGACCGGAGTGTGAATACTTGTTCACAGCCGGGTTATGTCGGGCGGTTCTGGAACCGATCGTGTGGTGTGGAGCAGTTGCTCCGGTTTCACACGGGAGTCCAAAGCCATGGCCAACCTTCGCTTTGCTTCACGCGACACGAACCACCGGCTCGACAGCGACCGCGAGGTCCTGCCCTTCCCCGCCGGCGGCGTCTTCGGTTCGCCAATCGTCACGGGCCCGTCCCGCACCGTCCGCGATATCGAGCAGACCCTCGACACCATGCAGCGCCAGCTCAACGAGCTGAGCGACGCCGTCGACGAGGTCCTCAAGTTCTCCGAGTACACGGAAGACGAGAGCGACTTCATCCCCACGCCGCCCACCGCGGCCTGAGCACGAATGAACACGCGCCGCGGATCGCAAGGACGCGATCGGCGCGGCGCGTTCAACGATTCAGGGAATCCGCAGCGGACCCCGCGCATCACGCGTGGGGTCTGTGCGTTTTGGCGCACGAAGCGTCCGGTCGCTCACATCGCCTGACCCAGCCCCATGCAGCGTCGCCACGTGCTGAGCTGCCCCAGGTGGAACGAGACGTGCGCCGAGAGCAAAAACGTCGCCATCGCGCCGACCGTCGGGAGGCTCTCGCGCATGCTCTCGAACGGGTTCGGCTTCGCGAGCAGCTCGTCGTCCGCCTTCTCCATCGCCGAGATCGCCGCCTCGGAGCGCTCCTTGAAGCGTGCGAGCACGTCGGCCAGGGGCGGGTAGATCGAGTTGTCCGGGTCGTCCTTGCATTCCACGCCGTGCTTGAACCAGGCCAGGTACTGCTCGTTGTTCTCGTGCGGCTCGCCGAGCATCTCGAGGATCATGTCCGGGTACACCGCGAGGTGACCGAGCACGAAAATCGGCGTGTTGCAGTCCACGCCCTCCGGCTTCGTGCCCGCCTTCGCGGGGTCGACACCGTTGAGCAGGCCGTCGGCGAGGCCGACCATCATGCGGCAGCCGGGGGCGGTCATGGATCCATACGAAGAGGTCGTGGCGGTCATGCGGGGGCTCCTTCAGGGATGACGGGGTGTGTACTTGCCTTGATACAGCAACGCCCGCGAGGGGGTGTCAACCGACTCCCCGCGCGGGCGTACAATTTCACATGATGGCGACAGGCGATCGCATCCACTCCGTTCTGACGCTCGCGAAGCGGGCCCGGGTACGCCGGACCCTCAGATTTTTTCTGACGACATCCGGTCGCCTGCTCGCCCTCGCCTCCGCCCTCGCCGTCGCCCTCGTGCTCGTGGACGTCCTCATCGGCCTCCCCGTCCCGTGGTGGGCGGCCCTCTCGGGCGCCCTGGCCATCGCCCTCGCCGCCTCCGCCGCGCTCGCCCTGGGCCGCCCGGGCACCCTCCTGGACGCCGCCCGTGAGGTGGACACCGCCCTGGGGCTCAAAGACCGCCTCTCCAGCGCGCTGGACCTCGCCTCACGCGACGGCACGGACGCATTCGTCGACCTCGCCACCGTCGAAGGCGAGCACGCCGCGAAGCAGGTGAGGCTCCGCGACGCCATCGCCATCCGCCTCGGCAACACCTGGGCCGCGTGGCCCGCGCTCGCCGCCGTCGCCATCGCGCTGGGACTCTTCGCCCCGCGCTACGACCTCCTCGGCAGCCGCGCCACGCAGGAGGTCGCCTTCGAGCGCGAATCCGCGCAGGAACGCGCGGCCGAGCAGCTCAACGAGGCCCGCGAAGAACTGGCGCGCGAGCTCGAAGCGGAAGACCCCCAGCTCGCCGAGGACCCCCTCGCGAACGAGGCCCTCCAGACCCTCGACCGCATCGCGCAGGAACTCGAAGCCGGGAGCGAAGACGCGGACGCCGCACGCGAGAAGGCCTCCGGCGCGCTGAACGAGTCCGCCCGACAGTTCGAGGAACGCGCCGAACGCGCCGAGATGAAGAAACGCGCGACGGACGAGATCCTCTCCGAACTCGCGCCGTCGTCCGACAGCGCCCAAGGCGCCGAGGGCGGCGAAGCCGGCGAGACCGAACCCTTCGACCCCGTCGACGCCCTCCGCGAGGACCTCTCGCAGAACGACATGGAAGAAGCCGCGCGCACGCTCGAGGAGATCCGCCAGCAGGTCGAGCAGCTCACCCCCGAGGAACGCGAGCAGCTCCGCCGGGACATGGAAGCGCTCGCGAAGGAGCTCATGGAGGCCGCGGAGCGCGCCGAGCAGGACGTCGAGGCCGACCGCGAGCAAGAGCGCTCCGAGCTGGGCGACTGGGGCGTGCAGGAAGACGACGCGCAGGACCTCCAAGGCGAGCCGACCGAAGAGGAGATCCGCCAGAAGCTCGAGGACATGGGCTTCGACGAGGACGTCGCCCGCCGCTCCGCCAAGCGCATCGCCGAGCGCGAGAAAGAACGGCGCGCCCGCGAGGAGGCCGCCAAAGAGACGAAGGAACTCGGCGAGGAACTCGAGAACGCCGCGGACGAGATCACCCGCGACCCGCAGGAACAGCAGCCCCCGTCCGAGCGCGAGGGCGAGGGCGACAAGCCCTCCGAGACGCGCGACCCGGGCCAGAAGAACGACGGCGCGACGCAGGACGATCCCTCCCCCGAATCCCAGACCGAGGGCGGCGAGGAACGCGACCCGCAGGGCGAGAACCAATCCGAGCAGCAGCAAGAGCAGACCGGTCGGGAGCCAGGCGAGAAGCCCGACGGCCAGGAACGCCAGGAGGGCGAGTCCGAAAAGCAGAACACCGAAGGCAAGCAACGCCAGGGCGCCGAGACGCCCGAGGGCACGGAGGGCCAGAAGTCCACGAGCAAGGGCGGCCAGGAACGCGGCGAGGCGTCCGACCAGTCGCAGTCCAACAACCAGGACACCGCCCAGCAGGGCGAGCAGCGCGGTTCAGGCGAGGCGCAGGAGCAGGGCGAGCAGCGCACCGGCGCCCAGGAGGGCGGCGAGCAGAACACCCAGCAGCCGAGCGGCGCCCCGGGATCACCCGACGGACGCGGCCAGGGCGGCGGCGCCCAGGACGAGACCGGCGGCGGGCAGGGCGGGCTCGAGGAACTCAAGGAACGCCTCGAGAAGATGAGCGAGTCCGCGAAGGACGCCGACCGCCTCCGGGGCAACGCCGAAAAAATGCGCGGCCAGGCGAAGAAGATGCTCGAGGAGATGACCCCCGAGCAGCGCGAGCGCCTCGCGCGCTGGATGCAGGAGATGCAACGCCAGGACAACGGCCCGATGGATTTCGACACCGACACCCTCGACGCCCGCCAGAAGGGCGAGAGCGACCGCGTCGCCGGCGAGACCTTCAACCCCAACTGGGAAGCCGACCGCACCGCCGACGGCGCCGTCTCCGAACGCTCCCTCGCCGACCAGCTCCGCGAGGCCGCCCGCGGCAACGAACGCGCCATCGAAGAACGCAGTGTGCCCGCGAAGTACCGCAACGTGGAGGAATACTTCCGCCGAGCGATCGAACGCGCGGAGCAGGAGAAGCAAGCCAAGCCCGCGCCCGCCGCGCCTCCGGAGTAGCAACCGCGCATCTGTAGCAACCGCGACCGTGAGGGAGCGGACGCGTCAATGCTTGCGCCTGTGGTCCCACTCCCCACCTCTCCCCCGCCCTGCGGTGGGAGAGGTCGATCGGTGTGCGCAAGCCACCGATCGGGTGAGGGGGCGCGCTGCGACACCCCGAACGTCTAAAGCCAATCGATCACTCAACGAACCCCCTCACCCGGCTGACGGCTTGCGCACGTCAGCCGACCTCTCCCACCTCCGGGGGAGAGGTGGGCAGGTCACCCACAGTTTCCAAATACGGACGCGTCCGCTCCCTCACGGTCGCGGTTGCTACCGCTACCCGCGCACCGGCGTGATCGGCTCCTGCCCGCTCAGCACCCGCACGATGTTCTCGCGGCAGATCCGCGTCATCATCTCGCGCGACTCTAGGTTCGCGCTCCCGATGTGCGGCGCGAGGACCACGTTCTTCATCCCGAGCAGCGCCGGGTGCGCCCGCGGCTCGTCCTCGAAGACGTCGAGCCCGGCCGCGAAGAGTTTCCCCGCCTTCAGCGCCTCCACGAGCGCCGCCTCGTCCACCACCTTGCCCCGCGCCGTGTTCACGAGCACCGCCGTGTCCTTCATGAGCGAGAGCGCCCGCGCGTTGATCATGTGGCGCGTCTCGTCCGTCAGCGGCGTGTGCAGGGAGACGACGTCCGCCCGCTTGAGACCCTCGTCCAGGTCCACTCGCTCCGCGTTGAGCGGCGCGAACTCGAACCGCGGCTTCGCGCTCCGCGCGACGTACAGCACCCGCATCCCCCACCCGATCGAACGCAGCGCCACCGCCTCGCCGATCCGCCCCGCGCCCACGATCAGCAGCGTCTTGCCGGAGAGCGGACGCCCGATGAACTCGCTCGGGCCCAGCACGCCCGCCTCCGCCCATGAACCATCGCGGACGAACATGTCGGCTTCCGCCAACCGGCGCGCGGCCGCGAGGATCAGCGCCCACGCCATGTCCGCCGTGCCCTCCGTCACCGCGTCGGGCGTGTTGGTCACGATCACCCCGCGTTTCGCGCACGCGGGCACGTCGATGTTGTCGTACCCCACCGCGAAGTTGCTCACGACCTTGAGCTGGTCCCCCACCGCGTCGAGGAACGCGTCGTCGATCTTCTCCGAGACCCATGACACGACCGCGTGCGCGCCGGACATGAACCCGGCGAGCTCCGCCGGATCCCTGAACCCGCGTGCCGGACCCGTGCGGATCTCGGCGCCCTCCACCTCGAACGCCCCGGGCAGCGGGCGCGACAGCGCGATGGTCATGCCCGTATTCACGATCCGCCCCGCAGGATCGCGTCGACCTGTGCGCGGGCCGCGTCGGCGTCCGTGATCATCTCCTCGAAGGGCAGCCGCACGATGCCGAAGTGCGCCCGGATGTCCACGCCAAGCCCGTCCACCCCCACCGCGAGCGGCTCGGCGACCTCCGTCGTGCAGTGTTTCGCGCAGGCGCGCTTCAGGGCCTCCCTGTCCTCGTTGAGCGCCTTCAGGAGCGGGATCTCCTCGCCCGCCAGCGCGTTGGGCGTCATCAGCGCGTCGCCGTCGAAGACGTACTCGTTGAGCCGCCCCGCGTCGATCCACAGCTCCGCCCACCGCACGTGCTCCGGCTCGGGGAAGTACGCCAGGTACCGGTCGGTCAGCGCCGATTCCTCGACCTGCTCCGCGCTCAGCAGCAGCTGCAGCGCGTCGTCGCGCTCCTCGGGCAGGAACGCGATCACCTCGTCCGCCATCAGCAGCGCCACCGGCACGCTCGCGATCAGGTGGCCCTGCTTCGGCGTGCGGACGCATTTGAACGGGATGAAGTTGTCCTCGAACGCCACCGTCCCCTCGCGGTTGTCCGCGAGGAGCCGCTTGGCGCGGGCGAGCGCCGTCGCCTCCGCGTTCGCGTCCGGGTTGGGATCGGCTGGCAGGCTCACGCGCCCACCTCTTCGGGGGCTTCCGGTGGGGCCGGGGGCGACGCGTCGGCGTCGGCGCGCATGAACAGGGCGTCCCCCTTCGTGATCGACGTCCCCGGCGCGATCGCGCCCCACTTCGTCAGGCTCGCGAAATCGTGCGCACCATGCGAGAGGTCCGGCGGCGCCTGCCCCAGACGCGCGAGCAGCTCCGTCATCTTCGCCGGCATCGCCGGCAGCAGCAGCACTCCCGCCAGACGCAGCGCCTCGGCACACATCGCGAGGATCGTCGCCAGCTCGTCTTTCTTCGTCTCGTCCTTCGCCAGCTTGAACGGCTCCGTCACGTTGATGAACGCGTCCACCTGATTGCTCAGGCCGATCCCCGCCCTCGCCATCGTCGCGATGTCGCACGACGCGGCCGCGTCGGTGGCTTCGTTGACCGCTTTCTGCGCGCTCGCCGCCCAGTCGAACCCTTCGTACGAATGATCCCCCATCTCCGGCATCTTCCCGTCGAAGTACTTCCCGATCATGTTCGTCACGCGGCTGAACGCGTTGCCGATGCCGTTGGCGAGGTCCGCGTTGTACGTTTCGACGAACTTCTCGTGCGCGAAGTCCGCGTCCGTCGAGCCGAGCGGGCCCTGCACCAGCAGGTAATACCGCAGCGCATCGAGCGAGAACCGCTCGCCGTACGCCCGGAGCGTCGGCAGGTCGAGGAAGTTCCCGAGGGACTTGCTCATCTGCCGGGGTGCGTGTACGCGCACTCGTACTGGATCCGCGAGGGCCGGAAGATGAGCAAGTCCCTCGGGAACTTC